CAAGTCCTGTCCTGCCAGAATCTTCAAGCAAGATATTTGTTGACCTTTTTACCATGTCAACATTAGGTGCCAACCAATCATGATTGCTGTGTACTAAATCCTTATTACTCCAACCACTCCTGGGAATCCACAAACATCACTTTATAAACTAAAAACTTTCCAAATCCAGGGGCTTGGTTCCCGTACCTCCACTCAATCCCTGTATTTCCTTATCTCCCACTGCCATACACTTATTTTCTTCATTTCTGACATTTTTCTTTGCCTTTGCAGCTTATACATGTATCGGTTCCTAAGGTCACTAGTAATATATGACATTAAAGGTCATATAGGACTATGGTAAAGTAGAGTAGTATAATGGGTTAGGAATGAGTTAATGCTTTGGGTAATGTTATAGTTTGAACAGTAGTAGAAGGTACAATGGTAGTAAAAAGGGTAAGGAGGGGGAGCTACTGTGCAGTGTTAGATAAATGTTCTTAAAAGGGAAAGGGGTAATTCTTTTTAAAAAATGTATTTTGTGTTTGTGTGTTTATTTTATGATAATTGGTGACGATTATAGGTTTACTATAGTTGTATACCACTTTTGGTTGGCGGAAATCCATATTCAGCCAAAAATCTTGATTTGTTAAGTAAATACCTCAATGGAAGGGGGTCCAGGGGCAGAGCACTTGATAGGGGGTTTGGTAAGGTTGCTTGGCTACAATGTTTTGTGTATAAACGTAGCTTCACAGCTTGATAATGATGTGGATTTCCATAGATTTTAATGAACGCAGGCAGGTCTTCCCGTAGACTTTTTGAATGGTGCCATTGTGATTTTTTAAACATGGCGTGTTGGACTGTAGACTTTCAATGTTGGCGGGCACAGAGTTTCCGTAGAGTTTCTTGAGCTGATTTTAACGATTGTCTTTTCTTGTTTCATGCATTATTATGTTATATTCATTGTATTTAAGCCTGTTATACCCCATAATTTCCCTGATGTACTTCATGCCCTCCCCTACTATAATCAAGAATGTTGGCTGAATATGGATTTCCACCAAGCAAAAATGGTATACAACTATACTATACCAATAAGCGTCAAATGAATACGCAAACGCGAATTACATTTTTTGAAAGAATTACTGGGAAAGGAGTTAAGAGAGTAAGGAGCATTATGATAAAGTATTGTGGTGAAAAAGGAAAAAAAAAATTAATGATTAAGATAAATGGACAGAACAAAGGGGTGAAGAAAAGGAAATGCAAAGGTGGAGGACAAGAAAGGACCAAGGTAGGGGTGGTCCACTACATTGGGCCCCAGTCCTGTCTCCTAAGCCACACACAACAACAAGCAAGGCATATTAACCTGAATGTCACCTAGAAAGGGAATCCACACTTAATATATACTACCTCACATTTTCTCAATCTATCGATCGATTGTGATTTGCGAAGTTCTGGCTTCGCCCGGGCCTTCGGCTATGGCCCGGCCGCAATCTATCAAATGCCATTTAAACTTTACCATAAAAGACTACTTGTCAACCACAGAAAAAATGGCTAATGTACATGAGAAGTGTTGTACCTTTTCCACTGAATCCCATGTTGCCATGCACAAAAACCTAGCATGGGCTACATTTGCAATAGTGCTACATTTTCTGCGGATGTTCATGGTTCTTCCCAATACAAAGATATTCAACCGGCAGCCATCCTTAAATTCAAGGTTTAACACTTTTAAACTTGGAAAGATTTCAGTGGCCATGAATTGAATCCGTAGTGTAACAAGGAAAATATTCGTTGTCGCGTGTTGCCCAGATGTTTGACAACATAAACAGGAAGACTTAAATGTTTACGATTAGTTATTTACCGTCGTCCCGCACGCGGTGCTCTCGCCCCGAGGTTTGTTTACACGATCAGCTGATCGGCATTCGTTGGGGCAGCGCTGGCGGCAGGCATCGAATGGGTGATTGCAGGTGAAGTAAACATAAAAAATAATGGGTAACTGGAAAGATATATGAAATAAAAAGAAAACCATAACAATGGTAATATTACACTAGCAACAAAAAATAATACCGTTGTAAAACCGATTTAACTCACGAAGAGTAATAATAAAAAACAGTTATCGTGAAAATAACCAGAAAGTAATGATAAAGCAACGTTTCTCGCTGGCTGCCTCAAAGGGTCAACACCACGCCTTCCAACCCTTGATGCTTACCTTGCCACTGATTGGGCAAGCGGCAGCCCGCAGGAGCCAATCAGCGCCGGCGGTCGGAGATGTTTACCGCGCGAAGCAGACGATGAGGAGCAGAACTCGCCTGGCTGTCTTGTGAGATAGGCTATAGGCACCTGGGAGCTCATTTCTCTCTTATCTGAATATTCGTAAGTGTGGATTCCCTTTCTACGTTTGTATTGTGCTGCAGTTTTGCCAGGATTGGAAGAAGTAGTTGAAGTTGTGCGAGGAAATAGGGTAATATTGTTGATCTCTGAAGAATCGACCATTGCTGATGATGTAATACGGATGGTCGCTGGAATCGTG